ATGGAATATGTGAATGATCTAATGCGTTAAATGTGTTTTGGGGGTACTACATGGCATCTGTCCAGGGTTGGAGCTTAAAGTGGAAGTTCTAAGGTTAAAGGCTAAACCAACTCTTAGTCTCCAGCAATGGTTTCTGTCTAGAGGAGAGATTACCAACAATGGCTGGAAATGCCTAGAAGATCACCCATAGACTTACTATGGGGCATCTGTTTTCGGTGGCCCCTCCTCTACACAGAAGGCCCTGCTGATAGCTGATGCTGGCACCGAATCGGAGAGGCTTCAGAATAAGGTAAGTATACACATCTTTTCTTCACAGTATTAAATAGAAGAGCCTTAGAAAGGAGGTGGGAGTAGGTATAGCCTTAATTTGTTTTGAAAGCAAAGAATGGATGGAGGGGGGCTGTCAGTAACATGATAAAAACACCATCCCCAAAGAGAGAATAAGTACTAGACAGTAAACTCTGTGAATTGTCTCCACTCCCCCTACGGGGAGGGGGAAAAGACACGGAAAAATGGGGATTTGAAAAGGTGTATGCAAAGACAAAAAGAAAAAGAAAAAACTATATTCATATATAACAAATTTTAAAATAAGTTTCTACTTTTAAATCTATTGAAAAACATAATGTACACATTATACAGTGGCTACAAGCTAAACAAATATATCTTCTTAATCAGACGAAACAAAGTGTGTAAAGATCACGCTTTCCTCCCAAAAGAAGGCTTCTTCAGGATAAACTTCGTTATTGCCAAAAGTATTGGGATGCCTGCCTTTCCACACACATGAACTTTAATGGCATCCCAGTCTTAGTCTGTAGGGTTCAATATTGAGGTTGCCCACCCTTTGCAGCTATAACAGCTTCAACTCTTCTGGGAAGGCCATCCACAAGGTTTAGGAGTGTGTCTATGGGAAAGTGTGACCATTCTTCCAGAAGCACATTTGTGAGGTCAGGCACTGATGTCTGACGAGAAAGCTTGACTCGCAGTCTCCAATATAATTCATCAAAGGGGTGTTCTGTCGGGTTAAGGGCAGGACTCTGTGCAGGCCAGTCAAGTTCCTCCACCCCAAACTCGCTCATCCATGTCTTTATGGACCTTGCTTTGTGCATTGGTGCGCAGTTATGTTGGAACAGGAAGAGGCCATCCCCAAACTCTTCCCACAAAGTTGGGAGCATGAAATTGTCCAAAATGTCTTGGTATGCTGACGTCTTAAGAGTTCCCTTCACTGGAACTTAGGGGCCAAGCCAACCCCTGAAAAAAAAAAACCCACACCATAATCCCCCCTCCACCAAACTTTACACTTGGCACAATGGAGTCAGGCAAGTACTGTTCTGGCAACCGCCAAACGCAGACACGTCCATCGGAATGCCAGACAGAGAAGCGTGATTTTTCACTCCAGAGAACTCTTCTCCATTGCTCTAGAGTCCAGTGGCTGCGTGCTTCACACCACTGCATTCAACGCTTTGCATTGCACTTGGTGGTGTAAAGTTTGGATGCAGCTGCTCGGCCATGGAAACCCATTCCATGAAGCTCTCTACGCACTGTTGTTGTGCTAATCTGAAGGCCGCATGAAATTTGGAGGTCTGTAGCTATGGACTCTGCAGACAGTGACTTCTGCTCACTGTGCGCTTCAACATGCGCTGACCTCCCTCTGTCATTTTACGTGGCCTACCACTTGGTGGCTGAGTTGCTGTTGTTCCCAGTTGCTTCCACTTTGTTATAATCCCACTAACAGTTGACCGTAGAATATTTAGTAGCAAAGAAATTTCACGATGGAAGTATTGCACAGGTGGCAACCTATCACGGTACCATGCTTGGAGTCACTGAGCTCCTGAGAGCGACCCATTCTTTCACAAATGTTTGTAGAAGCAGTCTGCATGCCTAGGTGCTTGATTTTATACACCTGTGGCCATGGAGGTGATTCGAGCACCTGAATCCAATGATTTGGAGGTGTGTCCCAATTCTTTTGGCAATATAGTGTATGTCTATGTCAAAGTGGCCTGGATACACGGCCACAACAACAGAAATGCTCATATCATTTATATAACTTCAAAGGAACTTAAAATCACCCCAAAAGCAGTGCAAGGGATCAAAGCTGGAAAACCCCATGGGGTCATCTTTCCCAATGTCAGATCAATCACCTAACGGACCACAGCTGCTGTGGAAGATCAAGACCAAATGGTTCTCTGCATAGGGGGAACAATAACCCTGGAAAAACGCACATGTAAGCAGCATCGGCTGCCAAGCATTGTTTCCAGGGTTATTGTCCCCCCTATGCAGAGTTGAACCATTTGGTTTTGATTTTCCACCATAACTTCTATACTCAAGAGCTGTGTTCCAGATCTGTTGGAACTCTTAAATATTGTTTCATATGCATGTCAGCTAGGTGATTGATGAATGGGGAGTGGTGACAACTCACGGAGTTTATTGTCGAATACTCAGGTTTTGTCTGAACTTCCACTTTAAAGTCTGCGACTTTGATTATAAGGTCAGATTCTCAGTACACCCACCATGTCTAAGGATGTACTCTCTCTACTTACAAATCTTTACTTTGATTTTGTAAACTCTTCTCTTCTAAATAAACTTTCGAAACCTTCACTGTGAGCAGAGGTTGTTGCTTTTCTTAACTTCACTGAGCAATTTCTAACCCTCTCATGTCAATAAAGCGTCACATTATATTTCTTTCATGTCAGTGACTAAATGCGTGCTATTTTTTCCTCTGTCCCAGTGAATTTATTGCCTTCTGGAAGGACATCACTATGCAGTAATTGTAGGAGCCCATTTTGGCAATGCACAGTAAAACATGGGTATTTCATTGCACCATTTTGGTGCTTTTCATTGTGAATGGCGCCCAATGCACTGTACAGCAGAGTGCAATGCATGGTGCTTCACATTGAACATACCACGGGCTGCATATTGAGGATATTTTTTCTCTCTGAGAGGGCGATTTGCTCCATTGGGGACACAGACAGCAGTAATAATCTGACCGGGAATACTTTAAAGTAATCTTGTCAGTGACACATTTTATAGCGCTTAGGGCGGGTGTCGGCAACCTGCGGCTCCAGAGCCGCATGAGGCTCTTTTTCACCTTTGCTGCGGCTCCGGAGCACACTGCCCACCAGGTGACAGGCAGCTGCGGCTCGCGAGCCACATGCGGCCTCTTTACACACTTCAATGCGGCTCTTCTGTGTGCCGGGCGCCCGCTCCCCTCCCTCCTCTCGGGCGGCCGCCCCAAAAGTCATGACTCTGCAGCTAGCCCAGCAATGGGCAAACTACGGCCCGGCGGACCTTTTAATCCGGCCCGCGGAGCGTGGCAAACATTGGCTGTCAGGATGTAGGTGGGGCAGCCAGGATGTAGGCGGGGCAGCGTGACAAACTCCTCTCCTCTCACAGTCCGCCCTGAAGACCGGAACGGCGCGGGAACACGGCGAGAGGAACGCGCGGAGCAAAAGTAAGTGAATTGACACAATATGGGGAATGAATTACTATAGGGGGGATGAATTACTATATGGGGGATTGAATTACTATATGGGGGATGAATTACTATAGGGGGGATGAATTACTATATGGGGGATGAATTACTATGGGGGATAAATTACTATATGGGGGATGAATTACTATATGGGGGATGAATTACTATATGGGGGATAAATTACTATAAGGGGGATGAATTACTATATGGGGGATGAATTACTATATGGGGGATGAATTACTATGGGGATGAATTACTATATGGGGGATGAATTACTATGGGATGAATTACTATGGGGGATGAATTACTATGGGGGATGAATTACTATATGGGGGATGAATTACTATGGAGGATGAATTACTATATGGGGGATGAATTACTATATGGGGGATGAATTACTATGGGGGATGAATTACTATATGGGGGATGAATTACTATGGGGGATGAATTACTATATGGGGGATGAATTACTATGGGGGATGAATTACTATGGGGGATGAATTACTATATGGGGGATGTATTTTCAGTTTTAAAAATGTGGCTCTCAAAATAAATTTCAATCGTGGTTTTGGCGAGATTTGGCTCAGTTGAAAAAAAAGGTTGCCCACCACTGCATTAAGGTAAGAAACAATATATGCAGTGTCGGATTTGTTTTAAATGTTGCAATGGTTTTGCGGCTCCCAGTCTTTTTTTTCCCTTCGGAAACGGGTCCAAGTGGCTCTTTATGTCTTAAAGGTTGCAAACCCCTGGCTTAGGGCCTATTAACACCAGCAAACTGCACTGTCAGTGTGCAATGTGAGACATAGTGCCAGTGCATGATTCTGGTGCATTCAACTAATCTGTGTGTTATCACTTATCTTACTGAAGAATCCGCTTTTATTTTTAAAAAAGCAAAAAATGGAGACCAATAAATATATATCTCATGCTGTATGCTTTTTGTATATCTCTTGTCAGGGCTTTTTTAGATGCAGATACTCCCCCCTTCTGGGTTATCTCCTCTTGCCCCCTACCCACCTCCCAAACACCATCCCCTACCCACCACCCAGGACAGCCCCCTTTAGAGAATATAGAACGAAGTATCATTTTGCTGGGCTAAGTAATGTGTATGATTTGTTACTGATAACGAGAAAGACTCCCCTCCCCAGCACAAATAGATTCTCTTCGACACAATACACCCTCAACAACAATAAAAAAAAGTCCAGCAACACAAGACCCCTACCAGCAATAACAGATCTCTCAACAACCAGCATCAGTAGACCCCTCCCTCAACAGTAGATCCCACCCAGCAGCAATTAATCCCCAGCAACAAAAGACACCCCCCCGCAACAATAGATCTCCCAGTGACAATAGATCACTCAGCAGCCAGCCTCAATAGACATTCCAGCACACCCTAACACCCCCCCCCCCCTCCAATTGTATTACATACATTCAGTGCTGGACTTGACGGAACTGAATACCCCCGCGTTCCCCCTGAATAAAAGCCCTGTCTCTTGCGATATCTCTTTAACACCATGTAGAAAAGCAGTCTTACCTATTTTTTATCAGCCAAAAGTCCTTTCCGCCAAGGTTTCCATACCCTACAGCAAGAACACCATGGTTCACCTCTTGAGTGCAAGATGAATCATCATAGACACCTGTGAAGAACACACGTTTCAATAAAGTTTGACCATACAAGATTAAAGAGGTTTCCTACACTTCCTACGGTAGATTAAAAAAAACCTTCACACTTTAGCAATAACTCAGTATTTGATCTGTGGGTTGCTTCTACAAGTTTGAAATGGCATGGTGATATAAAACTTTTTAGCTGCATTGTACAATGCGGACAGTAAAGGTCCCGGAAGCACCAACAGTAGAGAAGAGTGATGGCTGCTGGAGAAGCAAGGAATAAGCTAACCACTGCAAGGGTTCTCTTTTTCTACAACCCAGAATTCAGCTTTGACAGGGGGAAAACTTACCACTTTTATACAGGTAAAAGGAAGCATGTTTTGCATCAATTGCTACTGATATTGGTCCAACAGTACCAAGGGCTTGTTTCAGATTTTCCTCACCGGCAGTCACTTCTTGGTACTTAGAGCATGAGGCAGCCTTGCCAGATGGATTATAGATGCACTGTCCATCCTTAAAAAGAGAAAAAAAATTCAGTATGTAGATGTCTCGCATAACCAAACTGGTCAGCTACAGCTGTTATGGTCGTGAAGGACCTACTTACTGTGGCATGATAAGGATAGGCATCATCAGAATCAATGCCGTTGTTATCAATCACATATTGAAAAGCTTCAGTCATGAAACCACCATTACAGCCATGGTTTCCATATTTAGTAGAACAATCAACAAGGTTCTGAGGACTGAGGGACACCAGATTTCCTGTCTTCAGTTTCAGTTGCCCCTCCAAAGCACCAACAGCACTAAATGCCCAGCAGGATCCACAGGAGCCCTGCAACAAAAGAATCTATTAATATATTCTTCCTGGTAGTAGTCAGGTAATATCAGTTTACAGCAGTTTAGGCAACCACCTAGATTGTAGATCTAATTTCTTCCAAAAGGGTTCCTCAACATAGATTTTCATACTTATCAACGAATGAAGAAGAAAAATTCTGCTTTCAGTTTTAGAACAGATTAATTTGCAATTTGTTTGGGTTTTCCTTTGGGGTACAATGAGACTCTAAATCCTCATGACGTTTTTACAGCGGCTGTTTTTGGCTTTTTTTTTTTTTTTTCTACAGCTAGTAAACCCCCAGCTTGTTATCCTATGTGTACATACACACATAGACTGTAATCAACATTTTTTTGGCTGGAAACAAAACCCAGGACTAGCGGGTTTCTAGAGGAGTATTTTAGCTGTAAAAACGCTCTAACGCTGAAAAACGTGGCAAAACACGGTAAAACATGGGAAACCACCGCTAAACGCTAATACAAAAAGCTGAAAAACTCACGTTTTTAACGTGACTTTACACAGCCAATGTTACCAGCATTATCAAAATTTCCAGGGTGCATGAGGCCTGATGTCCATACAAGTTATGAGAAATGCTTAAAGATTTAACCGTTTCAAACAACATATAAACATAACAAAAAAAAAATACTTTTGTCAACTAAATTGTCCTTCCTATCAGGGCCAATTGTTACTTTTAGTTGAAGTTGATTGTTTATTGATAAAAAAATTAAGCTGCCCGTTCATATTGCGAATTTCCAGCAAATTTGACCACTTTTGATCACTCTGAAGTCAGAAATATTTTGTGATTGAATGCGGAAGTGAGCGTTTTCAACTGACCGCAAGGAGAGGGGATTTAAACTGAATTGAACAGAATCCGGCCAGAAATATCTGCTTGCTTTGGAGGATATTGAAGTATTTTTGTTTCTAATTTTGATTTTTTTTTTTCAATAACCTGTATTAGGGTTGTCACATTTTAGCCCAGTTCGATTAACTAAATTTTGACAGACAGTCAAATTCATGTGTGGTGGATTGTTTGGCTTTAGGCTACCGCTTTTGATCATATGTTCAATTTGCAGTTGATAGAAAGTGGTTGAAATTGCCTGAAAGTTGCCGTTTGCATGGCCAACTTTAAAGATATTATCCTTCTCCAAGGACAGTCTTATATAATTTATTACTACAGGTATTTTTACAGAGCCAACAAGTTTTACATCTCACTGTTCATATTGCACATTCCCATCAGTCTCTGCCCTCAATGAGCTTACAGTCTATTCTTATGATAATATTAGTAGAAGATTATTGGCAGCGTGTATCTTACCTAGCACTAGATTCAGGGGCGGACTGACCATTTGGAAACTCGGGCACTGCCTGAGGGCCTAGGGTCAGTAGGGGGCCCCATGAGATGCCCCTGGTACCTTTTTCATAGGCTTTTTTGAGTTTGGGCAAGGACACAGGGGCCCCATGATCCCCTATTGCTCCAGGGCCCCATGAGTTGTCCGTCCGCCCCTGACTAGATTTGACCACCAAGGAGCACCATTCGTGGCAAATATACCAAGTGTATGGCTACTATTGGATTGGATTTACTAAAGGCAAATAGGCTGTTAACTTTGCAAGGAAATTTCCCACTTAGTTTTGTGAATGAGGTGAAGCTCTGCTGACTTCCATCATCCAATAATGGGCAAGCAAAAATATATTTTTTGCACGTGATTGGGTAATCTTTGCAAAATAAAATTTCAGCACTGTGCCCCCCCACGAGGCCATCCTCCACCATGCATCTCGGGATCTCCCCCACCTGTGGGTCCAAGACCCACAGGGCGGGTGTTGCTGGATGAAGGGGAGGGAGACCGGTGAACATCCTTTTGCTGATCTCCCCAAGCTGTAAAGACCCCAGAAACAACGTGTACAATGTCACTGCCAGTTTCTGGTGTCATTGCCCCTGGCTGTTGTGACCATGGAAGAAGCTAGTGAAGCATGATCTGAGCTTTATTAACTTCAGTAGAAGGCAGGTGAGACATTACGGGTTTAAAAAAAATGTCTAAAAAAAGCAGACTGTTTGTTACCTATGTGATATACAGTAAATTAATTTTAGTGAAAAAGAAGTGTCAAAAAATAAAGTTACACCCAAACACTTAAACTCCCCCCTAAAAGTTTTGAGCCCACCCCGCCCCTATGTACATGAGCATACCTGTTGGGAGGGCCTACGCTTGAAATTGCCACTTGTGCTGGGACAAAAAATAGGCCAGGGCATTTTAGACCGAGCAGCCCCAAGCCCAGGGACCCTTTCCTTGGAGCCTGGTGGCAGAACGCCAGGGCACAGTCACAAGAGCGACCCCTGTGACCCTGGTAGTTCCACCACTAGTGTCAGTAGATTTTTATGAAAGGAGAAGAAAAAGAGAAGGGGGGAGAGAAGACAAAAGACTGCCAGGGAGTGTAGGCGGGACAGACAGAGCCCCGGGGGACAGTCTATTCTGACAGATCCCACACTGCAGCAACAGGGAGGGGGGAACCCAGCAGCACTGCAGAGGATGAAAGGGGGCAGCCGCAAGGGGAGCATGCAGAAGTCCAGGGCAGCACTGATAGGATGCGCGGCTGGGTAGCACATAGATGAACCCATCCATGCATTTCTGTCCTGCAGGCATTTCAGCCGCTGCTGAATGCCTGCAGGAGGGAGAGGAGAAGAGGTCAATCAGTGGCTGCAGGAGTGAAATGCACCGATTGGTTCCTCTATGTGCATCCCGGCTGCCCCTCCTATCCAGGGAGGCCCAGCCCGGAGTGAGAGCAATAATTTTAGGGCCAATATTCATTGTAACTCTAAACTGATAACCTGTAAGTTTTGCCTATGGAAAATCTAGGGTACCAAACTTTGTCTTTGTTTTGCGTGCTCATCCAATTTTAAAGCTTGACATATTGGGTCTCTACTCACTTGGTACAACCTCATCCTTTATAATTTACCAACAATTGGATAACATATTGCATTCATGTGCCCTAAAAAATGAACTTTAGTGTGTTCATTACTGAAAATTTACGCTTGATAAACCATTTCAGAAATATCATAAGACATTAGAAATTCAAGTTGCCACTATTTCTATCCAGGCATGTATGGCCAGAGGCGAGTGTGATAAGTGTGGGAAGGATCAGAAGGTAGGAACGTCAAGTGTGGGCCATGGATGGAGATGACAGTATCCCAAGGACTGGGAAAAAAAAATATGTTGCCACATATGTTTTACTGCTTTTTGTATGGTTTTACTGAACATATTTATTAATATTAGTAATACTCATCAATCTTTCTTACCTGGTTTTTGACATTTGTGACGCATCCCTTATCCCTCCAGTCTATAGCGTCTGGCACCATAAAGCGGTCTGTAACATTCCATGAGTTACTTAAATAGGTTTTCTTCATATAATGTGGAGGTAGTATAAGTCCAGTTAGCTCGGCCTCCACTTCTTCACTAGTCTGAATAAAAAATGACACAGTTACAGGTATTAGATAAAATAAAACTAGTAGAAACCAGGAAAATTCAAACTGAGCACATGAAAAAAATGCATGTCAAAAGTATATAGATCCAGAGATGTAAGCAGCTGAATTTCTACTTAAATCTTGACTTTTGGTGTAAAAGTCAAACTTGGTGCCTCCTGAGGAAATCTATTGGTCAGGTCATGTGATAGGCACATCATGGACCTAGAGGAAGGCTCAAGAGAAAAGAGAGGGCAGTGCCAAGCTGAATATTTACAGGGAAATGTTAAAGGTAACAAGTTGTATTTATGTAAAATTTATCTTCTGCAATATATGTTTTTAAAAAATGAAGGGCCTATCAGGGGCGGACTGACAACTCATGGGGCCCCCGGGCAATAGGGGATCATGGGGCCCCTGTGTCCTTGCCCAAACTCAAAAAAGCCTATTAAAAAAGGTACCAGGGGCATCTCATGGGGCCCCCTACTGACCCCGGGCCCTCAAGCAGTGCCCGAGTTTCCTATAGTCAGTCCGCCCCTGGGGCCTATCAACTAGTATGTACTGTACTAGGTAGGAGCATTGCTAAGAATCCCTACGAAGCTCTGCCTAATTTTTGACCAACTGACTGCACCAATGATCAGTTCCAGCTTATCACTTTTATTCTCACAGCAGCCAAGGAAACGTTGACCAGGGCTTGGTGGTCTGGTACCTTGACAATTATAAAAGTTAAACAAAAAAGTTATGGTACCTGGTCAATGAGAAGCTGGAAGACAACCTTCATGACAAAATAAAAAAAAAATGAAAACAATTTGGATTCCATGGATCTTTCATTATTTTCTAGGAGATTTTGATGACTTCCTACAGACCATCTAGTTTCAACCTGACCATAATATGGACGACAATGCTTCATTTTCATTCTTCTCCAACCATCCATCAATATCCCTACCCCTTCTTCCTTCTATTCTCTTCTCACTAGTCCACTCCAAAATGCTTTTTTATTTTCTAGATTTCTATTACTCTGAATTATATCTTTTGTTTGGTGGGACCTTGAGGGTTTTCCAAGAATGGAACCTCCCTCCATGGCTCAGACACCCTATCTAGGTATATCAATTGATGCTCCCATGCATAGCTAGCTATTAATTTACCTCAACTATGAAACTGTGACTTGATCCTTGAATGTATGCATCAGTGTACATACATATACAGTCATGGCCGAAATTGTTGGCACCCTTGATATTTTTCCTGAAAATCAAGTATTTCACACAAAAAAGGTATTGCATTAACACATGTTTTGCTATACACATGTTTATTCCCTTTGTATGTATTGGAACAAATATAAAACAGAGGCAGAAAAGCAAATATGACATAATGTCACACAAAACCCCAAAAATGGGCTGGACAAAAGTATTGGCACCCTTAACTTAATATTTGGTTGCACACCCTTTGGAAAACATAACTGAAATCAGTCGCTTCCTATAACCATCAATAAGCTTCTGACACCTCTCACCCGGAATTTTGGACCACTCTTCCTTTGCAAACAGCTCCAGGTCTCTCTTATTGGAAGGACACCTTTTCCCAACAGCAATTTTAAGATCTCTCCACAGGTGTTCAATGGGATTTAGATCTGGGCTCATTGCTGGCCACTTCAGAACTCTCCAGCGCTTCTTTGCCATCCATTTCTGAGTGCTTTTTGACGTATGTTTGGGGTCATTGTCCTGCTGGAAGACCCAGGATCTTGGACGCAAACCCAGCTTTCTGACACTGGGCCCTACAGTGCGACCCAAAATCCTTTGGTAATCCTCAGATTTCATGATGCCTTGCACACAGTCAAGGCACCCAGTGCCAGAGGCAGCAAAACAACCCCAAAACATCATTGAACCTCCACCATATTTTACCGTAGGTACTGTGTTTTGTTCTTTGTAGGCCTCATTCCGTTTTCGGTAAACAGTAGAATGATGTGCTTTACCGAAAAGCTCTATCTTGGTCTCATCTGTCCACAAGACGTTTTCCCAGAAGGCTTTTGGCTTACTCAAGTACATTTTGGCAAACTGTAGTCTTGCTTTTTTATGTCTCTGTGTCAGCAGTGGGGTCCTCCTGGGTCTCCTGCCATAGCGTTTCATTTCATTTAAATGTCGACGGATAGTTCGCGCTGACACTGATGCTCCCTGAGCCTGCAGGACAGCTTGAATGTCTTTGGAACATGTTTGGGGCTGCTTATCCACCATCCGGACTATTCTGCGTTGCAATCTTTCATCAATTTTCCTCATCCGTCCACGACCAGGGAGATTAGCTACAGTGCCATGGGTTGCAAACTTCTTGATAATGTTGCGCACTGTGGACAAAGGCAAATCTAGTTCTCTGGAGATGGACTTGTAACCTTGAGATTGTTGATATTTTGCCACAATTTTGGTTCTCAGGTCCTCAGACAGTTCTCGTCTCCTCTTTCTGTTGTCCATGCTTAGTGTGGCACAGACAGACACACAATGCAAAGGTTAAGTGAACGTCTCTCCTTTTTATCTGCTTTCAGGTGTGATTTCTATATTGCCCACACCTGTTACTTGCCCCAGGTGAGTTTACAGGAGCATCACATGCTTGTAACATTCTTATTTATCCGCAGTTGTGAAAGGGTGCCAATACTTTTGTCCAGCCCATTTTTGGAGGTTTGTGTGACATTATGTCGAATTTGCTTTCTTTCCTCCCTTTTTTTTTTTGTTTTGTCCCAATACACACAAAGGGAATAAACATGTGTATAGCAAAACATGTGTTAATGCAATACGTTTCGTGAGAAATACATGATTTCCTGGAGAAATATCAAGGGTGCCAACAATTTCGGCCATGACTGTATTATCTACAGGGTGCTACACAATCATTTCCTGGCTGCTTCTTTTACTTCAACAGGATCCTTCTGAGGTTTATACTGTATATTAATATCATTCCATATCAATATCATACCATGAATAGGCTCTAATGTTTTTGTACAGTATATTGCACAATACTGTATACCTCTACTGTATATTCATCCTGTGATTGTATTGTTTAAAAAAACTTTTCAATAAAAAACTTAATAAAACTGAAAAAAATGAGTTATATTTTTGTCAATGTTGGAGAGTCAATAATAATTTTAGCCCGTAACCAAAATCTAGAGCACGGATGTCAAACTGGAGGCCCTCACGCTGTTGCCAAACTACAAGTCCCATGAGGTATTGTACGATTGACAGTTACAAGCATGACTCCTAAAGGCAGACACAAGATGGGACTTGTAGTTTTGCTACAGCTGGAGGGCCACCAGTTTGACACCCCTGGTCTATAGGTTTTATATGAGGAAGCATTATTCCACCTTTGAAGAATTTGGTGGAATTTAAATAAAAGATTGATATTTAAGAAAAAGAGGAAAAAGAGGGTGCTTGAAGTGCTTTTCAGGTAAAAATGTTTCCTTTACAAACATTGCAAATACAGAAAAAATACCAGTGATCCAACAAGTTCCTGTTTTGGCAACATGGTGCTTTATCTGCACTGAAATATCTACTGAAAGGGGCTAAAGAAATTCAACTATCATGCCCCTCTATGTCCAATTCCACATGAATAATTTGATTTCTTTCTCAGCAAAATTATGCTGCTGCTTTGAATTCCAAATCAGCTCACGCAACGTGTAGGGAAAGGGTTCTTGGGAGATGTAGTTTTTGGGGGATGCATATGCCTATATCTGTAGGAACTGAGCTCCAAGCAGCTGCCCTTGCAAGAATGTTGCACACCTAATGACATAAAGTAATACAAGTTTTTTCTTTCTACAAGCAATAGGTAAAAGTAAAATAAATCTTCATGGGACATACTTTAGAATGGGAGAAAGAAAATTAGGGATAACATTGGTTAATGCTAGAAAAACACTGCAAAGTGCAAGTCCAATTTTTCTGAGATTTGTTAATATTAGGTGCAACAGCAAGATAGAAGCATTCAAACACACTGGGAAGAAAAATATATTTGAAATATATTTTAAAAATATTCTTCACAAATATATTGACATATATTTGAAATGCTGCAATTTTGGCCATATTCAATATATTTAAAAATATATTTCAATAAATAAAATATATATATATATATATATATACTGTATGTTGAAATGCATTTTTTTGCAAAATATATGAAAAAATATTTTTAAAAATACATTTCAAATATATATACTGTATGTCTTTAAAAATACAAATCTACATTTTTGGAATGAATTTACAAACATATGTAAAAATATATGTTAAAATGACTTATTTTAAAAAATATATATTTTTTAAATATATTCTTCAGATTTTTTTTAACATATAAAAAAAGTCATTTTAACATATATTTTTACATATATTTGTAAATGCATTCCAAAAATGTAGATTTGTATTTTTAATTCATTGATATTCAAAGCAAACTCCCCCCCATCCATCCATCTATGTCTCCATGCTTTATTTTGCTCAGAAATCATGTTGAAAAAACACCCCCTAGCATTTCTGGCTGTGGCCATCTTGAATAAGGGTAGAAATTTAATGTAGCATTTCTTTCCTTGAATTCATCTGCCCTTAGCTCATGCATGCAAGCAGTAGGGTGTGCTTAGCTGAGAAAGTCAATCCTCCCATCCTGGGATGTATGATACCATTTGCCTAGGCATGGAAACAAGGAAGTAACTGAAGAAATGAAAAAAAGTTTAAATCAAGTAAACATGAATTACTTTTCTATCTATTTACCAATGCTAGCAGTGATTAAAAATAATCAGTGTTGACTGAGAAGATGAAATTCCGCTTTAAATCATATTGCAGGCAGGGGAGTATTTACCACAAGGCAAAGAAGGCATTTGCCTAGGGCGCCATGTTTCAGGGGGGGCAGCACCCCCCAGGAAGAAGGGACATATGCAGCATGGGGAT